TGTAACAAGTTTCAGGGAATGCGGATACGACTGCTTCCTTATGATCTATTAAACCTAGTTACGAGCTTGATCGCGCACTCAGGTCGCGCTGAATACGGATCGTAAAACTTATCTAAGGGAATCGCGTTCGTGCTCCGAACGGTCGTAGGTTTGTTTGCTTCCGTCGCCGCCGCCGCCACCGTCAGAATTTATTTTTCGTTTCAAGTACGTGCGCGCTGAGAGTGGCTTCTCGTTGCCGCTCCATGATTTTCTCGACGAAAAATACGTATGATGACGTTGCGCGCGTAACGTCCCACCACCGAGCGATTCGGTCTGATATCTAATCAACCGATAACGACGCTGATAGAAATCCCCCCGGGGGTTGTTTGAGGCGCAAAGGTTGACTCGTGTGTAGAGCGAGGTCTTAGCGCGCTAATGGATGACCACCGAACCGCCACTTTAGCGAGATTGAAACTGTCGTTCGCACCTACCGAGCATGATGGATGCGGCGCTTTATAAAGTCGTTCGCTCCTCGTACGTACTCGTTAACTCAAGAGACTCTCTTACCTTTCCTGTGCTTTTCTTCCGCGTAAATAGCGCGTTCGTCTTTCGTTTGATAAACGTGTCAGACGTCGCTGAGGCCGCGGCGGCGCGGAAAGCCGGCTCCCCGGCTGTTTAAAGCATTTGAATCTTCGGGAGCGGGGTTAAGCACTCCGAGCACCGCGCTTGGAAAGCCATCAGCCTTGCTTTTGTCGTTTTAGATGGTTTCCAATTATCATGCCCGGCCATAACAATCTCGAGCATCAATCTTGAGAGGCCATCAACCACGTCTTTGTCATTTTAAATGCTTTCCAATTATTGCGCCCAGCTGCAATAATTTCAAACATCATGCCTGAAAAAGCGTCGAGCTCACTTTCGTTGTTTTACATGTTTTCCAATTATTCCGTTCGCGGCCACAATAATCTGAAGCATTACGCTCTTATAAACTTGCCTGCTTTCACAGGGTACGGTTTAGGAGCGCTGAGAAAAAAAATCCGAGTATTTGATCTTAACGAGATTACTCGTGGCTTTTCTTTTTTACTCCGGACTGCTGCTAACAGAATAAAAAGTTTGAGATCAAATATTGATTGCAATGGAGATGTAGCCAACCAAGATATGCTATCGCTACATGCTAGAAACTTTGTTCAAAAGTAGTATTGCACCGGGAGAGGTCGTGAACCACTTTTTTAGACGTCTCCTATTATTGTGGTCAGCCACGCGATCATTTTTCGTCGTTGTATCTTCTCGACACACACGAACGTAGGTTTCTACATTCTGAAATCACAGTCGCGCGAAGTATCTCAAGCAGACACGAGCAGAGAGAACCGACGCGAGATGGAGGGAGGGTGAAAGATGCATTTCGGGAAAGAGGCATGGTTTTCTTTATTATTTACAATATCACTATAATCTATGGCAAGGCGTCGAGATCGGCCAGTGCGATCTTCATTCTCGTCTTGAGCTCGTCCGCGTAGCGTAGAGCGGATTCGTCGATCCTAACGTCTTCCATCAGGAGATCGCAGTCGAGATGTCTGCTGTCGCACGCTCGGTGGTGGTGTTTGAGTACGTCGTTCGAGTCTAGATGATGAGCCCGTCTAGTGGACGGGTTCAGCGTGGTCAGGGCATAATGATTGTGCACCGTTAGCGCGCGCCTCGTGGAAACGAAGCTCTTCACCGAGTCGCCCTCGGGCGAGATACTGGCCGTTCGCATGGTGTCCAGGTAATCCGGGTACGGGTCGGCCAAGCGACCAGACTGCTCGTCGGACCCGGCGAGCTGATCGGTCTGGCTCTTGTTCTGCAGCTCGGGGAAGAAATAGGCATTGCGCACAGAGTACGAGGCGAAGTCCTTGAAACTCCTGCCGAGCTTGGCGCGTTCGTCGAGTAGCAGCTCGTGCCAAGTTTTCCTGCGCGTCGGCACGATCGCTTCGTCGATGTCGATCGGCACCACGAACTCCGACCGGTGAAGGTTCTCGTAGAAGCAATGATTGTAGGGTATCAGTTCCATTCGCCTCTTGGTCCAAATATCCTCGCGAAAGAACTGCCTCCTAGCCGTTTTCTCGTTCGGCAAGTCGCCGGGTAGATCAAGCGCGAACCATCGCACCACGTTCGACCGCTCGTACAAACGCAACACCTTCAGCACGTTCTCGTGCACGTTGAACACGTAGAAGTAGAAGAGCTTGGCGCCTAGAATACGATGCAGCTCGACGAAGGCGATGAGCCTACGCGAGATGTCCTCGTCGAAGTCCAGTCCCTTGATGCACAAAGTGAACCGCCTCTTCCGGCCGGACGGCTCGTCGCCGAATTCGGAGCGGGTCGTTAAACTATGACTAGCATTCGCGTAACAGGTGTTCGGACCTACGTAAACCCGAGACGGCTGCGAGCGTATCGAGCCGTCCAGAGGCAGTTGACAGTTGACGAGCACTCCGGTGTAATTGTCCTCCGTACTACCCCACTCGTCCAACCAGATCGTCGAGACAAGCGCCTCCACACTCACGGATCGCGTCCTGCCGTGCTCCCGGTACCTGAAACGGTAACGAAATCACGACGCTTAATCCACCGATAAACTTACCGATAAAACTTTTAATGGCCCCGAGGGTGCTTGCGCGGAAACAGCCGATGTGTGTGTGGCGGCAAACGCACTCGGTAATTTTCAGCCGTGTGCATGTTAAAAGCGAGAATGAACTTCGTTTCGCGCCGTTGCGACGACATTTGCATCGTGCTCACAAAGCGGATGTTTTAACTCGTGCCGAAATGCAAAGCACCGGATAAATAGGAAAACGCGCTTTCTCTCCGACACGTATCCGTGTCAATCGCGTTTGCATGTCCTATGTTGTAAACTCGCGTTACCACGGCGGATTGGCGCGTCAACCAGTCTTGATTCTCGACCAGTGCGCTTCGTAGAGTATCTCAGTAACGAATTTTTGGAAAATTTGGTACGCTAACGCGGCGCTTTTTACGTTTCTGCGCGGTGACTCATACGATCGGTTGCAATGAGAGATCTCCGGTATCTCGGTGACTCGCCTAACTTAACAGCGACACATAATTTAATAATTTAAATAATTACGAGCTCATCTCTCGGGAAGCCCTATTATCGGGAAAACTAATTTATATTCGAGTCGTCCGCGTCGTCGTAGCTTGTAGAGGCGACACGGTGCTGAAACGCTTTCAGGAACGATAATACTTCCTACTGACGTTTAGCGCTCGTCGGAGATAGGCGAATAACGGGCCGCGTCGCAAAATGAAAAATGGCTCACCATATAGTGCAGAAGAGCGCAGAGGGCGGCAGGGTTCCTCGTTTAACGCCAATCACTCTGATGCTCGGGTAACCGGCGACTCTGAGGTCCAAGTGGGCGCTATACAGGAAGAGCCGTCCCGGGATTGTCTCGAGCCACTTCGTGCCGGGCGGCTTGTACGCGTTTAACGCCATTTCGCGCGTTCCATTACCGTCGCACTGCTTGGTGGGCCTGTAATCGAGTGCCAATCTCCGTGCCCACGAATAAGCGACGATGCTTCTTGTGCCCGGCGGCTCGCCACCTAGAAGCGCAAAGAACGTCGCTGAGAAGTCGTTTGTATCGGTACGGACGGAGTAGGCGGCCGATAAAGCGACCAGCGCAGTTAATTGAGGAGCCCGCGGGAGGGAGGTAGCAAAGGAGTAAATAATGCCAACTCACGTTTTTGCAGTAATGCGCGTGCTCCTCCGTGCGCGGTATTGTAAAATTAACTACCCTAGCGCCAGTAGCCACCTTTGAAAATGCAATTACCGAGGCGTCTGACTTTCCTCACTGATCGTCAATCAGAATCGGAAGAGGCACTTTTTAATCACGCGACCTTGAACCTTTAATACGTAGGCAGAACGTCTCGAATAAAGATTCGCGGCAGGATTAAACGCTTTACACATACAATACATACTGCATTCGAGACAGCTACTTCTTTCAAATATTTCATAACTTCATATATATTATCAGTTCGTCATAAACTCATCAAACTTACTCAAAGCACATTCTGAATTCTAGCAAGTTTGACATTTCAATCAAAAATATTCAGTTGAAAGGAAAATCCGGTTTATATAGAGTGTCCAACCAACTTTTTCTTCGTTTCTTAAAGTTTTATAACGCATTCTTACAAAGAGAATAAACTCTCTTCAATACATAACAATGAATTTTTCTCAAATTTGTGATGGGTATATTTTAAAGTTGTTTTATTAAGAAAATATTCCTTGCTGAAGTAGTCGTTATTTCAAAGAAGGAAACTAAATTGAGTAATTGCTTTTCTCAGCAGTAAGATAATATTTTTCTGAATATCGTTAGAACGAGATTTCAACGAGATACTCGAACGTCGCTTTGCCGCTACGGCGACATTCTTGTCGATTTCGTTTTTAGGAATTTTCTACACGCTCACGCGATCACGCAATGATGTTTCGTGTCGTTATTCATGCGGCTCGAGTCATCCGAGGCTCTACACGAAGTTTCATTCGAGTTAACGAGTTTAGGTTGACTGCGTTTTCTTGCAGGAGCAACTACCGTGTGTGTCCTCCAAGCGCTACGTTAAAGCTCTCGATACGCTAACTCCGCCTTATGGCTCATCGATATTTTTACGCGATCGAACCGATAGTTTCGCCTGCATTTTGCTTGTCAGTGCGTCGTCTTGTAATTTCCACAGATGTTACGTTATAGCCGAGTTCATCTTATTAAACGTCAACTTATTGTTTAAGCCAATCGATGCGATCTGATCGGCGGATAGATCGTGAGTCGACGCAAAGACACCGATCGCACGGAAGTGACGCGTCACGCATCGGTGTCGGATACGCTGTATTACAAATACGTTGACTTGCATTCGGAGACCTCGCTAGAACATGGTTATAACTGAAAACGTTGTCTTCCGCGCCGCGCACCCGCTTATCAGCGACCTCACGATAGTTTCTCGTAATTGCGATTTCCATATACTCCCCGTTCGGTGCTCTAATAATATTCAAAGGACAGGGAATTAGCCGGCCGGAATCGCAATCGACACGATCGCTAATTGGGCTCCCCAATGTTGGGATACGTTCTGTCTATCTCGTATTCTACGGGGAAAACTCGTTCTCCGCGCAATCGCCAAGTTCCGAGTCGTGAGCCGAAGCGCGGACGGGATTTCCATTCTTTCCTTTTCGCGCATTAATGCGTCCAATAAATGTATTTATGGAATAGGGGATTCGCAGACGCGCGCGTTTGAGCGCCGCTCTTGGTCGGTGATAATAAATCTACACCGTTGATAGCTTTAAGGAGACTCTCGTTACGTCTCGTTTATAATTATTTCGATGACGACGCCGGCTGAGGAGGCGGCGGCGGCGACGACGACGACGACGACGATGACGGAGATAGAAAGAGGAGAAAAAGAATAAGGGAAAACCTCGCGAGTCGGCGTCCGGGTAAATTTATAACGCTATATACGTTTCATGACTCGTCTCGTTTGCAATTACTCGCCTTCGACGTATATGGATCGTGAACGTTATTGACGGGACGCCCGGGACTATTTCACGGACGATCGATGTCGGCGGAGCGTCGGTAACGAGACTAGACGATACCCGGCGCGCGATCCCGGATTTTGCCTGCTCGGCGGGACGGATGATGAACCGTCGTGGTGTGTCGTTAAAAGTCAGCGTTTGACCCAACGAGGGCCGACGGCGGTATTACGTGTTTGCGTGCCGCGAGTATTCTTCGTGACTCCGTGCCCTTTACCCGCCATCCTCCCCTCGACCGTCGCGGCTACGCTTCGCGAGGTTTACGAGAAGGTGAATGCGGCCTCACGATAAAGAGAGAGAGAGAAGGAGAATGCATTCGTATCATGCTAGAAATACGCTAATGTGCGCGGCGTTCTCATGGAAATGACCGGGCGGAGAATGGATCTAGTCGACTGCGCGACCAAGTTGACTGTCGATTTTTAAAGGTGCGCCGTTTAATTATGGTCGGAAACTGCTCCGAGGGAGATTCTTATCTTGAGCTGATTGAAGAGGATGATTCTAAAGCTTGTTGAGTTGGCGCGATCGGGGGATATCGATCATCAATTTCTGCGTTACGGAAACGAGCTCTCGCGAGTCCGTCTTTCGCGACGTGTAATTAACGCCAAATATGATGGTTTGGTTGGCAGCCAGGTGATGAGATCCGTAACTCATTACCTTATTGCCGAGAGACTGTTTTCGTATGAGATGAACGAAAGCGAATTTCGAAAGCGGATCGCCGCAGCACGACGGCGCATGAATACGCGGTCGTGCTCCGCGGCATACGATCGGCTGTCATAATCCCCGCGAAATGTTTGCATGGAGGAAGCGAAGGTGAATTACGCGAAAGCGTACGAGTCGACGGGCGGTCACTCGATGAATCACGTCATAAATTACGTCGACTAATGAAGTCGCTACTACCAAAGAACAGCGCCGAGATTTACGTTCTTGGCGAGCTTTATGCCAAAGCTTCGCGGCTTATTTATAACTGCGCGTTTCTTTTGCGCGAGTTCGCGTCTCGTTGTTGCGTTATCTTGGTATCTTTTTAGTTTCTCGGGGAAGCGTGTATGCGCTGCGTGCACTTGAACTTTCTGCGAGGCGTAGAGGAGCGGGTTGCCGCGATCGGTATCGGCCACAGAGCGATTCATTTACGTACTCGTATTCTTTGTTAGCATAAGAAAAAGCGCTGCGTCCGCACAATTACGCGAGATATGTGTTTAAAGAAGCAAGGAGGGCTCTTTACTTCCCGCAAGCGCGTTAGCATTTTAATGCTGAGAAGCTATTCGCGCGACTAGGAAATAGTGCGCGTTGAGCAACAAAACGTTCGCAGGTACCACGAACAAACCCATCGCGTGCGAATCTCCCTTTTATCGCGCGCGCCGAGAAAGTACTTCTGCTTATGCGCCAATTAGGCACTGTTGCACGGCTACGTCAGCCCGACTGTTACTGTTACTTTCTTTGGGTTCTTCTCTCTTCCCTCCTCTATATCTACTCGCGCTTCGTTATTGTTGCGCGCCTACGGCGCAAGCGGCAAACAGGAATTTCTCGTTTTACATGACATAAGTCCTATAGTAGTCTCGAGGTTTTGCGAAACCGTGAAGTCACGTTGTCATAAAAAGGATTTCGCATATGTGTGTGTGTGTATAAAATCGATTGTATTCAATACGAATCCAAACCGGTGTATTCCGTAAGAAGAATCTTGTGCTTGCAATTCGTCCCTTTGAAGCTCAAATACACGGCAAGCTAATGAGAGCAACAAGGTAACGAGTTACCGATCACAAGTAGTGAACGTGGTAGGGTTATGGCTAAAGCAAACGAATTTCCAGTTGTTGATGAATCAATTATGAATCTTTAATATTAATTATATTGTTCGCGATAAGTTTGTAGGAGGATTTTTGCGAAGGTTTTGCGATTCAGAGCCGATATTTTTATAATTGGGTATAATTCTATTCAATAATATACTAACCGTTTTTTGGTAGCAAAGTAAAAAAACAACGAAAAAGATAAAGTTGTGTCCGTCTAAGTATCCACTTTGAGAGGATTTGTTGTAAATATGCTTGTAAATCCATCCATCAATGTAACATTTCGATTAGCGATGGAAGACTATCAAACATGCACTGAGAGAATATGCAACGACGATAACGTCACGTTTGATTCCCTTTCGGGTTTCGCGTTCTCTTCATCCTGAGCCATGTCTACTCTCTCGTTCGCCACGTACATGATTTTTTCAATGGAGCTCAGCGGAGCTCAACCATCGATTGATTTCCAACGGATTGATCACGCGTCACGGTCCGTTCGAGTATCAAAGGATCCTATCGTGTCTGCCGGGCGTCGCGTCACGCGAAACGAGGTTAATTTGTCGACTTATCCATCTCCGCGGTCAATTCGCGGGCAATTCGTGGTGGCAAGAACCCGGCTAGATGCCGATGCGCGTTACCGTCTTCGGCAGTCGCCGCGAACCGTTCCCCGATAACGAAAGGCCAAGGGTCGCGGCGCGCTCGCGCCCTCCGCAGCGCCGGAGGAGGAAAATTGCTTACCAGGCGTGGGAGGAAGATCGGTCGTAGGATCCGGGAGTCGTGGCGGCGAGTCTAGCAGAGTCAGGACGCACAGCGCGGTGACCAAGACCGCGGCGAGTCCCACTCTGCATAATCTCCTGGTCCCCGCGAGCGGCATGCTCGTTCTTTTCTCGCCTTCTTATTGTCCCGCTTTATCTCGTTTTTCTGCCGGCAGTGGAAGAACCACCTCGTTGGCGGCGCGCTCGGGCGCGTTTGTCACGAGCAACAGCAACGTCAACGCACAACGCGCGCTTTATTTCGCGAGGCTTCCCCGCGAGCGAACTTCGCCAATGCACTCCGGCGCGACTGCATGTCAGGCGTTGACAGGTGAACGCTGTGCGTCGCGACTCCACGGCGGGTCACTTGACTTCGCGTGCAATTCTCCACGCGCTTTCCCAGACTGTTCGTAGGTTCGCAGGTCGCGCACACGGTTCCATTTTATTTCCTTTTCTCCCTCGTATATCCTGCACCTCCTTCTTCCTCCTTCTTCCTCGTCTCACTCGGTTGAGTGAATTCACTCGTTCACCCAGCGGGATTTACCGCGGAGATTTAGCGGCGTTCGCTAACCAACTAGTTGTAATTATTCGTGCCGGCTGCTCGGCGGCAGCGCGAACTCGCTCCGAATCAGGTTCCCCTCGTTCCACCGCCGATCATCCGGATCGATCTGTCGGTCGTCTTCGGTCGCGTCCTTGCGTCCTTCTCGACGCGCCGAGGAAAGAGTTGAGAAAGCTGCGTTTTTCCTGGAAGATTCGTTCGTTGCGAAATACAACTCGCTCGCACAAGTGAGGCACACGCTTGCGCTACCGCTCCCGTCGCAGGCAAGAGAGCAAGATCCGCGATTGAAAGTGCCGCTCTGACCGCGTGTGTGGGTTCCGCACGAATCTGTCTCTCCTCAGCTCCGCGTAAAAAGCACCGCGCACGATGCTCGACCTCCCACGCGACGACGACGACGACGCTCCCGCTTCTTCCTCCGCGAGGAAGCCTTCTCGTAGGCAGAGGACGACCATGTATGGTCGTTCTACGGGGACTGCTCTCCGTGCCTCCGCACTTTCGATAATTCAATTATTCCGACCCGTTCCGGCCGATCGATCTCCGGCGAGACGGTTTTTCTGACCGGTTCCCTTTTTTCGCCACGAGAGCTCGTCGGAGCGCGACAATTTAAAGGACCCGCTCTCTCTCTCTCTCTCTCTCTCTCTCTCTTTCTTTCTCGAAGGTTACCGCGCCGCGCGGTCGCGCTCTCGCCGCGGCAAGAAGCGGGCCTCACGTGCTGCCACGCACTGGCGTGACCGTTTCGAATTCATTTTCGCCTCGTCCCGTCGATTTCACGCGCCGGCACCGAAAGTGGAACGCCCCGACCGGGAAGAATGACGGCGGCCCACCTCCTCTTCATCATTTAATCGTCCCAGGCTGATTTCTCACAGCCGTGAGAAAGCCGCCGCGGAATTAAATTCGTCCGCTGGCGTCACGGTGTAATGCGCGCGAAAAGCGCTCGCGGCCGAAGAGATCGGAGTCTCGCGCGAATTAATTTGCAACGTCCGTTTGAATTCTAGCCGCGCGCACTTGAAAATATATCCTTCGTGTATCACTCGAAACGTCGCTCGAGAACTAGCAGAGCTCGATGCTCATTACTCGCACTGGCGCACCTCCGTTGACTTCACCTTGTAATCATCGTGGAACGATTGATCGTCGAACGTGTTTGGCGACAAGACGCGCGCGCGTTACATCCGTCGCGGTAAGCTTCCTTTATCGGCAGGAATTCACCATTATCGTTCCCGTCTGGTCTGGCGAGACGTTCCTCGTCGCTATACGAGAGGCACGTGCGCGCGATCGTCGGTGGCTTTTCTCTCTCGTGGCGTTTCGCCTGTCGTGGCGGGATGCACGTGGTCGGCGGATCGACTGACGGGATTGGTGCAACCTGGCCTGCGCGAGAGTCGAGAGCGTACTGCGTACGAGCGGGAGGTTAACGCGCCACCGGGGCCTCGCCGTGGCACGGCGACTTTGGACCCGTTGCTTTAGCATGCCTCGCCAATGCGCCTTGCCTTACCCCGTCCCTACTCGCTTTACCTTGCCTCGCCTCGACCTAGCTCTTCTTGACTTGCTTTGACTTGCCTTTTAGCTTAGCTTTATCCCGCTCTCTGGTTGGTTGGTTGCTTGGATGGTTGGATGGTTGGTTGCTTGGTTGGTTGGTCGGTTGGTCGATTGGTCGGTCGGTTTCGTCCCGACAACGCAAGTTGAGTTTACCTTGTCGCAACCTTGTAAATCGCGTCGCGTTTCACGTGCTTCTCTCTTTTCGCGTCTTCTTCGTCTTCCCGTTTCGTCGTTTTTCAATTCCGTTTTGTCGCTTCTGTATATTGCCCTCAGTGCATCGTTGACGCGGTCGTGATTGCTCTCCGTAGTTCTTCCTTTTGGCGAATAATTCAATTCACACATGCTGACAAATTCGATTCAATTATTGAATATCTTTTTGGCGAAGAACATTCTTCGAGCAGAATATTCTTCGACGTTGCAAAGATGATGCATTAACATAGCATGTTTCTTTGTATATTTTATGCATCTTGTTCATTGTGTTACGTCACTTTTGATACACGTGTCCGTTTGAGACGACGTTGAGCAAATATAGCTCAGTAGCTTGGTAGATCCTTAAAGAATACGTACCTGGGTTTTAAAGATTTTTCGCGTCTCTCTAGAGTCAGACAGAAGATTAATATAGTTCCCACGATAATATCCCTGGTTTTTGCGCGAACGGTCGTTTCATTTCCGTCAAACTGGTTGTTTCAGCATTGTTTAACTTTACAATGATGTCGGTCGAGACGTATTGTACATTCGCCACGAGCTTTTATTGGCTACACATGTTTTCCAGGAGTATATACTTGATTCCCTTAACTATCGTAACGTCGTTATCCTCCGGGAGTCGTACCTACGGCTGCAATAAAACGCCTTCTCGTGCCGGCTTGGATGCCCTTACGGGCGACTTTATCTCGTCTTATCTCCACACATTGCCTGACCTTTCCTCGCAACCCACTATTTTCGCTCGTCCACCCCCGCGTGCGATTTCTCGCGGTTTCTCTCTTTCTCTGCCTCCCCGTCTGCCTGCTGTTCCCCTTTCTCTCTTCTTGAAATTCTCTCACGTCCATCCTTCTTCCTCCTCGTTCCCTTTTATCTCGACCACCGTGAAGCGCGAGCTACTTGCTCGTGTCAAAGTCAATCGCGCGCTGGATGTTGCCGCGTACGCGCATTATCGGAGCGTTACGCGACGGCTACATTTAAATCATCTTGACACGGCTGTCGCTACCGAGCTCGGTCGCGACGGCGGACTTTCTTGCGGAAATTACGATAAACGCGGTTTTGCGCGGCGGTACGTGCCGCGCGGAACGAGAGAGGAAGGAGATTAAAGCCGCGTGCCAAGGTATCTGACGAGGGAACGCGAATGCTCGTCCTGCCGTTCAGCAAGCTCTCCTATATTACCCGTCGCACGATTTCTACGAATCATGGATGCGCGTGTGGGCCCTCCTACGATGTCCACGATGAAGGTTAATGCGGTGATACGTATTGAGGGAAGACCATCGTTCATTACCGACGTGCGCGGGAATCGATCTTCCGTTCGATTATGCGGACGAGCGGTAGTAGTAGTGATAGTAGTAGGTAAAGCTAGTCGGGATCAGACGATGGAGTCACGCGTTTTCGCAACTTGAAGCTGGGTATACACTGAGTGAACGGACGAGTGCAAATTTTTGTTTCGCGATGACAAAAAATGTGTATACGCCTTCAAACGAATTCAAATAGAACATCTTATTTGGATCGATTCAGTGCGGTTTATAGAAGAAAATTTGCGCGCAAGGTGAACACAGATGCATCACACGTTCGCGTTCATTGGCTCGCTCAATGTACACCCAGCTTAACGAATCTCATGAAACGGCCGGGCATGCTGACACGAGCGATACCGTCTGACGGCAAGGAAGGTGCAAATAAGGCACGAGAGTAAGTCACCGCGGTCCTGGACACGCGCACGCGGACGTACCTGAAGAATGTCACCCGGTCAGAAGAAGTACGGGCGCGCCATACACCTCGCGCAATGATACAAACAGCTATCGTTCCAAACTTATTATCGCCGGTAAGAAACTCATAAATGCTTATGACTTGCTTGCCACTTTTTGCCGTGGTGTTCGAACGATCCAGTTAAAGCGACGTTTCGCCGGATTGACTCGGCAAACCAGCCGGAGATAGACTCGCGTGAAGAAGTCGGGCAGGACTCGCCGATCCGCGGCGCGTATTCGCGGCAAAGAGAGCGCGAGAGAGAAAGAGGGACAATCAGCGAGAGAAAGGGACAGGGGTAGGACAGGAGGAGCAGGGTGGGTACAAAGAAGAGGTGGAGGAGCCTGGGGAGTCCCTTCAACGTCATTTGTAATACCGGATGGCCTAATGATGCGACTGGTCGTGACAGGACGGGAATAAGAGTGGAAGCGTGCGAGAGAGAGAGAGAGCGTGCGCGCGCGCGTGCACACGCTGGAGAAGAGATTCACCGCGAATCCCCCTACGTTGTCGCGGGTACCGAGGTACGAAAGGGGATATATAGAGCGGGCGGGAGAGACGGTCATATACATCCACGTGTCTCGGTCACTCGGTTGTTAAGGACGCGCAGAAAGCCTCGGGACGTATTCCAAGCCGTCGTGATGCGCGACGGCGATTTGCTTCGCCGTGGTTGTAGATCACGGCAAAGGGGGATCTATCCGCCGTGCGCGCACCACCACGTATCTACTCGCCGTCGTCGTCGTCGTCACCACAACTACAGCCACTGTGGCGATGTGTACGAACGCGGCTTTTTGCGAGCAGCGAGCGGGGAAAAGTGTTCGCGCGCGCGCGCGCGCGCGTCGAAATTAATCTCCCACCGGCTGGCTCCACGAGGGAGCTCCGATAATTTACTCGCGGAGGAGGCGATTGCTCATTGCGTGCCTCGAATCTGGCGACACGCGCGCGATCAGCAAAAAGTTAATCGTTCGTGGAAAGGCTTTCGACAGCCGAGCGATTTTTCGTTGCTCGCGACATCAAGTTATTTCAATGTCGCATTTTTTCCAGACGAAACGTGCAGCCGCCACTTTTTTCAACAGACATTCTTTCTTCCAATTGAAAACAACGGTGGATTTGTTTGCAGGTGGATTTATTTGACGTATGATAAATTATTTTAGGGTGTCCCGTACGTACAAACTCAGTGGGGCTCGAAAATTTATGACATTCGGTGTACAGGAAGATCTAAAAGTAGCGAAAGAGTGCGCTCTTGTGTCGAGTGTAACACGCGCATAAGTATAATCCAGCTCACCTGCTGCTAAATGTCCAATTCACTGGATTTCCGCGCGAATAGGCTTTGCTTGAGCGAGATAAGAAGATGAATAAGAAATTCGCGTCACGGTTATGATTCACTTTGGTACTTAAGAAATAATAATGACAGGAACGCAGTCGTATTGCTAGGGTAAATAGTGGTTTAAGAATGGGCTGGAATACAAAAGAAGGTGAGGCGTGTACTACGTCTCGCGCATTTAACATATTGCGTGGAATCAAAGCTACAATTTCTGTCTGAAATTCGTTTAGAAATAAATCATCCATTATTGAATTCACCCTTCGCATATATGTATTTCATATCGAAATGTTTGGATTTTTGCCAATCCAATTTAAAAAAATGTTAACAAAAATAGCGAGGAGTTTCCTTTTTTTCGCGAATTTATTTTTTTTCTGAATGTGTTTAACGTCCAAGTTCGGACGAATAAAAATTTGTAATCAATTTTGTCGGAGGCGCAATTTTGCTGTCGCGAATTTGTCAAAGAAGCTGCTCTTGTAATTATGTCCGCATATGAAAGAAGCGCTTTATAAGACCGAAGATAATTATATACTTGATGTCGCGCGTTAACATTATCGCGTTTCTTCGGTGCCAGTTTATCAACGGGGCGCAACGGGGACGCGGGCTCGTACTGTAAATTCGCGACGCAAAAAGCACGACTTATGCACTCGGCAGCGACGTATGCACGCTGCACGCGATCATTCTCTCGTCACGAATCATGACGATCTCGGACGCGACGCGCTTTTCTTCCCCGCGTCACTACGGTGCACTTGGAAGCACGGCGTAGCTAATGATGCAGAACGTGCAGCAGTGTTTTCTTGTGGCCAACTAAGTAGCGGGATTTAAAAAATCGACAACTCGCCGTAAGTTACGTCGGCATGGTCGCCTCGACGTTAAGAAGTCCACGTAGACGCGCCATAAATTATAAGCTGGTAATGATTTAAACGAAACTCCGGTTTGTTAGCTTTACTTGACGCAACGGGTGTCGCGGAATTATCGGCTCTCCGCCGTGCGATGCGTCGCACTGATTTATTATTCGCCCGGTAATATAGTAACGACGCGGCGCCGGAGGATGAATCGTATTGAGATTGGCGATTTTTGCGCCGCGAGAGAGGCTCGCTTCTACGCGTCGCTTTTGAACCGGTGAGAGGTGCGTTAGCATCAGCCCCAGTGCGAAATAAGCCATTCTCCGGTCGCTAGCTGGAGAGTCTACCCGCTGTTACCGCAAGCTGTCAAATCGACGATATTATCTCGGCTAAGTCATATATCTTAAAGTCGCGCCACTTAGCTGCAATGTCGAGGCAACAGCGACGAGCGAGGTCGATCGCGAGCGAACCGTGAATCGCGACAGCGCCGCTACGTGCTCAATAGTGTACGATTCAGTTCGTCCCGTTGGACGTGAAGAGGGACTCGAGAGAGAACAGCGGTTGGCACCCTTTCGTCTGTGCGGCGCGTTTAGACACTTACGTATTGGCTCGCCATGCGGGACTCCGGCACAGTGTTTACTTCTGTTCCGGTCAGTCGGTTCTGGCGGGAAGGTGGTCATCGTGGTTCTCTCGAGCGATCGAACCGCCGCGATACGATATCGATCGTGACTCGGGTCTTCTTTTCTTAGCCAACGGCCGGCTGCGCGACGCGTTCTGCCGATCGG